CTATACTTTGTTTATAAGCTAATGAATGAAACCACAAGAAAACATTAATGACTACGATGCCTGGTCTAAGCCACAGAGCAACCTTCTTCCACGCCGTTCTTCCTTAGTTTCGCATGTGGCCCGCACTTGATATCCGACATCGGCGGGGGCGTACTCCTCGGACATAAATCAAGTCATCCTCGGCGCTGCCGGTACAAGAAGAAGGGCCCCAAAATTGATGGATGGTCGATATAACCGCTACACCGGTAACATTAGACGCGAAATTAGAAGCATCTTTCTCGGTGCTACGCTTTTAATTGATATGAATGCCTTGGGGAGGCAGAAATGACAGAAACAGGCCGCGATGGCTTACTGTGTTGGGAAACTGCTGGTTAAATATAGGTTTGGATATTATGATCTTTGTATTTATATTTACATGTGGGTTGAGACTATATGTGGCAGTGACGATCTAATGATAAATTTGAAAGATTGACATGAACTGAATTCTGGACAACCATATTGAAGGAAACTTCTCGTGAAGGAGCTTTCTACCGCTGCCAAGGCAGATCGACTGTAATCCACAATCCACAAGATAGACAACAACAGCATTAACGTTCCTCCCAACTACCAGGTGTCGTTGATTTTAGGATTATCCACACCATGGGGATAATTCTTTTTTTTTTTTTTTATACTCCAACTACCACGAAGGCCTAAGGCCTAAGCACCCATTGGGTACCGTGGGGCTATGGGGGATACATGGGAAAGGGGGGACGCCACACGGACTCTGGCGAGGGAACACGTGTGCATGCAACATGCACACATTCTGGCTCCGCCTACGAGAACCGCCGGGTGGTACCTCCGCGTTCGACAGTCAGAGACCATCTACCACCTACGGACAATCACAACATCCATGGCCAAGAGAAACATTTCTCCTGGGACGGGACTCGAACCCGCACAGCGCGCGGCGGCTGATCAGGAGACCGAAGAGTCTACTACTGCGGCCACCGCTGCTGCCTAAAACAAACACACAACATCCATGGCGAAGGCGAGATTCGAACTCGCGGCCCGGCCGGCCGGCTGATCAGTAGCACGACACTCTGACCCACGCGGCCAACCGAGGTCCCAGAGAAATTGAGGCGAGGATGCAGAATAACAACACTGGTGAACAAAATTAACATAATTTTTGAGACATGGACTAAGGTGGTTATTATGTAAAACGTACCCAAAAAGCCGGAAATAGCATTCACTTTTTTCTATCATCCACGGTTTTCTTGCAATAAGGCATTTCATTTGCTGCTTATACTCGTAAAATAAAGGATATGTGTGTAAGAATACTAACAAACACTCGAATGAGCAATAATCTCAGAATGTCGTTGTCGATGTCTTACGACGATATGTTGCTCCTGAAGTATCTCTTAACAATGTCCAGCAATAATCAGCAAGCAAATTGACACTGAATTTGCCTTGATACCGTTGATGTCTTGGTGGACGCGTTCAAAATCGAGATGAGAATCCAAAAAGTGAATTTTTAGAGACATGTGACATACCATTCGTTTATAAGCATTAAGTAGCTCACTCACAATATCTTTATAATTGTCCGCCTTCACGTTGCCTAAAAAATTTGCAGTAACTGATTGAAAAGCATTCCAAGCTCGTAATTCAGCTGTATTTAGATCACTGACTGTCAAATACATCATCCTTCATGATCTTCTGTATTTGTGGACCCACAAATATGCCCTCTTTAATTTTTGCCTCAACTTAATATGCAAAGGTGGAAGCAACACGTTTTTGGATCAACTAGTGATTCATGAGCAATGTTTTTGAGGCCCGGAGTTAGTACCTGACGTAGTGACCACTCCTTCTGTTCGTAATGACGATCTTGCTCACGACTGTTCAATTCACAAAGAAAACAACAATAGTTGGTATATCCCAGTTGCATTCCAAGAAGAAGGGCTATTTTCTTTAAATCTGCGCATATGGCCCATCCATATGCATTATAATGGATATGCTCTAACAGAACTCGCATATTTTCATATGATTCCTTCATATTAAGTGCGTGCGGTAGATATATATTACTGTTGTGTACCAATACCGCCTTTAAACTAAGCTTAGAGGAATCAATAAACAGGCGCCAATCATCTCGATCATGTTTCTGTCCTAACGCGTCAAACAAATTGTTGACATCGGAGCAATATATCAACTCCCTTTCTTGACGGAAACAGTGTGTGAGGTCTTGTTGCCGTTTTCGGTAAAAAGTAATCTTAACATCACCGTGGAGAAGATTCCATCCTTTTAATCTTGACGCTAAAAGTACTGACTGGGATTTTGACAGATTTAATTCTCGAACTAAGTCATTAAGTTCGCCCTGTGTGATCAAATGCAGCGCTGTTGAACATCCTGGCAGGTCAAACGGAGGATCGGAATTTTTTACGCTTTCTGTAGCATTACTTTGAGAATCGTTGGATTCGACTTTTTCATCCAAAGACCAAGATTCTGGTGGAACTGGGACAGAAAGTTCATCACTATGCTTAACGGGCCGCAAAGCTGATGATAAATGAAAATACTTAACAGTATATGTTTCAATTTTGGTCCAATACCTTCAAAATTTGTGAGGCAAAAATAGCAATCAGTAGTATGGTCTCTCGGTTCTCTCCAAACCATTGGTACCGCAAAGGGCATTTTACGATTGTCGCCTCTTAACCAACCTGTTAACAACGTTACACGTCTTACAACATATACGAGGGGCCCACAGTTTATCTTGGTCGCCAACTTTAATTCCAAAATAAAGTTCGTATGCTTTCAACACAAGGGGAGTGAAAGTACGTTTTTGGGATTTAAAAGCTAGCTCTCCGCACACATAACAAAAACTGTTCGCACTATTTACACAATTTCTAGGCATTGTCCATAAAGTTAGTCTCTATCACAATAAACTAAAACAACAACACCGTCTTAACAAAAATTAACAGTACTCAGAACATCTCAGTACTCTTCAACACAGAAAACGTAACTGACTCAGCTGCTGTTAGTCTACTAATAAACGCAATATGCTCTCTGAACATAGAGCTCTCATATAATAAACAGGAATAGACAGGTCTTAACATTATATATGTGCGTCATCGCATAAACGCCGAGAAATACAGCAATATGAGATGTTACTTATTGTAATTCATAAAAGTAGATGTTACCGAATATCTGTGGGTGATAGAAAAATTCTGTTTTTAGATTTGATTTAAGGGTGTCAAAATACATAAGATACACAAAAAAATTTCATGTCACAATTCCTGTGTATATCAGTGTAATTGAGAGAAAGTGTGCGTGCTTCTCTCAGCTCCTGAAGAACCGTGTTTATGAGCACTGATAGAAGAAATGTAACTCCTGAAATCTATCCAGTGGTTTTCATGTTTTGAAGAACACATACATGTCTAAATTTCCCTCTTTGTACTATGTTTCCGCTACTCAAGTGACCATTTTCAAGTACAATGACAATACGTAGAAGATTTGCTCCACCAGTAATTCTCGAGAGAAAAGTGCAAAAGTCTCATCGTTGTCCACGTCATCTCTAAAGACGAACTTAGCTTTGTGGTGCAACGATTAAAGATTTAAAGAACCTGGGAACATATCACTTAGTTTAACATGCACCACAACCTTCTTAAGTAGGGGAGGCCTAGGAGGGTTGTGACAGTTTTTACATAAGGGGCTATATCTCGCTCAAGAAACATTCAACAGTTATGGTTCATGTGAATTAATTTAGCGCCATTCCTTCAGTTTTCAAAACCATCACCAAAATTGATTAGAGTATTATAGTTTCTGAAAAAATCAACAAAATTAAAGACCACTCCCCTTGTCACATCTCTCCTACCACCGAGGTAAGTTGTGACAGGTACCGAGGTAAGTTGTGACAGCATTATATTTAATCTCTTAGATATAAAAAAATACCATTACACATAATATAGGTAAATCAAACACGTTTTTTTCTACCAAAACAGTACTTTAAACATCTTTTAGAACCTACCAACTAAAAAAACATAGTATTAACATTCTCATAACAAGTAATTATGATCTTTTAATTAACTAAGTATGGCATCGCTTTGAGATTAATCATATTATTATTATAATCAGTACAAAATCTTAATCTAAACAGATTCACAATTATGGCAAACTTAATGCAGCTCGTCTCCAGTACAATCTACGTATGCCCAGCCTTTGCATTCCAGGCATTGGACCTACTGCTCATTCTATCTGCTGTCTGCATAGGCTTCAAGGCAAAAAAAACAAAAACAATTATTTTCTGCTTCTTCTTCATCACTTGTTCTATTCTTCTCATTAGTCTTCTTTGCTTTTTTAGATTTCTCCTTTTCTTTGCTTATCATTCTTAGACTTGCTATTAGCCTCTATAGCAGCTATTTCATCCTTCGTGGGAGTATCAGTAAGGACAGCAGATTTGATTATCCGTCGGTTTGGTTGGCTGTTTTTTCTTGGCGGAGCTCTTGTCACGGTCTAACTGATTCTGGCGAGAACACATTAGAAACAGTGGTAAGTGGACTAGGGGCTATAGATGTGGATGCAATTGGTTCAATGTTATTATTATGCAGAACTGAGGTGTGGGCTGCAGATGTGGAGGCAACAGGTTCATTGGCATTATTGTTTACAAGTGTCAAATTGCTAGATGGCATGAGAATGTACCTGGAGTAATAGCTCTTGCTTCATCATTATCAACTGCGTCAGTGTTAAGATTTGGAGTTATAGTTCTTTCTGCTGCATTGTCCACAATTTCTGAATCCGATGGCTATCTTAAATGCAATGACTCTAGTTTCGTGGTCAGCCCATAATTAGATGCTGCAAATGTTAACAAATAGTCACTTGGTATATTCTCTTCCTCTTCTGTAAAAATAGTCGGAATGGTATAACCCATTGACGAAGCTTCGCCTTCTGGGTTTCCTTGATAACTTGATAAGTGTCTTTCTTCTTAATATGTCTTGACAAAGACATATAGCTTAGAATGTATGAGGCCGTAGCATCTCTTAAACTTTTCCTCTCAACCTAAACTCTTTAAAGGCCAGATTGTAGATTTCGACACTAGCAGTTCCTTTATTAGTGTTTCGTGTATACGTATACTCATCTGGCATCCTGAAACAATAAAGTATGCAGTATATACACGTTAAGTAACTACTAACACACCAACAAACATCTAAAATTGATAAAAAACATTGTGGAAATATAGCCCAGCAGAAAAATGGAGTAAGATAGGAGAGTTATGACAGGCAGTGTTTAAAATGACGACTTGGTACGAATAATAACTGGTATTTTCTAAACACTATGCGCACACAAGAAATCAGTGTAACGTTTTGAGACTTGAATAACTATTAACTATACAACTTAAGAGAAAATAACACATCAATGCACATATGCTAATACATGATATATATTCAAATAAAATTTTGAAGAAAAACTTACTTTTCGCATTTTTTTGTACACTGACGATATTTACGCAACCGCGCCCCGTTCGCCGCCAGAAGGTACTCAGTCGAGTAGCGCATGTCGACAGCGGCAAACAAGCGTTGTTGCAAGCTCGCTAACTACAATAGGTAGGGAGAAATCGTCCTTGTCACGACTCACCTCTGTCACAACTAGGGATGCAAACTTTTTATAAATATCGATATATCGATATCGATATATATCGAATTAAGTCGATATCGATATATCCGTCTATTAAGCCGATATATCGATATTTCATATTTTTTTCGGAAGCTTACTGAAATTAGAAATTCAACGCAGTTTCAGTTATATCAAACAGTTATCGATTATGTATGTATATAAATTTTTATACTTATGTATGTGAAGTGAAACAAAATTCCGATAGGTATATAATATGTGTTTTTCTTTCCATACATTTATTTGGGAAAATTAATCCCAGTATTTTGTACTAGCTATTGAAATATAGTAACTTTGACAGTCTGCTTCCTTGTAGCCGGTTTCTGCTCTAAGTTATAGTGGCTCCTGCTTTTGAAAAAATTCGTTCGGAAGGAACGCTTTTTGCCACAATTGGTTTCATAGTTTCATATCCAATGTCACATTCTTCTGGATGATTGTGTTTAATATGTGATGCTAGATTGCTTGTATTTCCAGACGTTTTAACTCGTTTGTTACAAATAGTGCAAACGGCAGTACCATCTTCTGTTTTGAAATATGAGCATAATCTACTTCTCTCCATATTTTGAAATTAAAATTGAGTATTAATTTATCAGCAACCAACAGGTACAACACGTGTACATACCACATGTCATATCACTTGTCATATCGTCATACCTCATTTTCTAGACAGTCAGTGTTGTCACGTTGCCAGTCAAGCGTTTTACCCGTTTTTGTGGGTATTTTAATTTGGGTGGGTTTTTCGATATTTTGATACGATATATTGAATTTTTCGATATCGATATATCGATATCGGCGTATCGTCGATATCGATAACTATTGATATTTGTAGTTGTCGATATATCGATATTTATCAGTTTTCCGATATATCGTTGCATCCCTAGTCACAACTCTCCTAGGTCTCCCCTACTCTTGGCTTTATTTAATTTCAATGAAAAACGTTTCGAATATGGTTGCATTGGTGCCTATTGTATGACCTTTTACAAAGCCAGTGTATATATTCATATTCTGTTGAAGTAGTTTTACTCTAAAAAATTTCGTACCAACTGAAAGTGTTCGTACTCATGTGTCTACTGTAAGAAGTGTTACATTCTATACAGGGTGACTTTGAAGTTGAGTCATTAATTTTCAGATAATGATTGTAGAAGGAAGATAAACCAAAATATGTGTGTAAAAATAAAAAAAAAATAAAAAAAAATGTACCTTGTTTTATAAAGTATCCTCCCGAAAAGTATTTCAGTGCGGACCTGTATTTGATCGTGAGGTCTTGGAGCACCGGCATGCCGTCGCCTGTGAGGTCTTAAGTCACCTGATTCACGAGCCCGTTGTACTACATTAACAAAGGCACGAGGGGTTGGTTGCACTCGATTGGGAAACTGATCCGCATAAACATGTGCCATTTTTGATTTCGTTTGAGCCACGGAACAGACACCACTATTCGCTCACGCGTTACCGACTGACACTGACTGTATACAACGGAATAAAATAATTGTAAAAACATCGTTCCAAATTCTTTCGCTTTTTTGTTTCCAATGCGATGCACCGATAAGGCGGATTATATCCGTTGTTGCCAAACACGAGCACATAATATTATGATTGAGACAGGGCGGTACTCAAACTTCCAAAGGGCTATAACTTTGTTACTTTAATTTTACCAGAAAAATGGTAAAGGAAAAAAACACTTCTTTTGATCAGATCTACTCACTATTAAAATAAATGACTCAACTTCGAAGTCACCCTGTAGATGTTACTTATGGCTTTGCATGTAACCTATTTTTATTGTCAGTTTTCTCATGGTTTTCTCTTCTTTCAGTTGAAATCGTCCATTAAAGTGTGGGAAAGGACAACCAAATGGAAGAAAATTCTCATCGACAGATACGTAGTGCCACGAAATGACAGATGTTTTACATTCTTTTAGGAGCAAATTTGGGATGATCCAGGGGAGAATCTTTCAAACACGAGAACTGCACCCGTTTTATAAGGAGAAAACCTTATCATCATCATGGTGTTACTGGGGTTCCTAAAATCCTTTGCACCACGATACCACAACGAAGCTCCCAGCTGCTCGTATAGTTGCAAATTTAAGCGTGGATTCGGTAGAATGCAGATTTTTATCGAACTTTGTCCAAAAGAAGCAAAGTAAACTGAACAATAACACCCAATAAATAGAAGTCGAAGATATGCTTAACCGAAAAAACAATAAAGGTTCGAAAAAGTAAAAGGAGTGGAACAATATAAATGTTGAAATAAGAGACATTATTTCTGGAGGCGTGACCAGAGACGTTATACCGAAATGCAGACGAGTTTTTAAATACCTACGAGGTACCCTAACTGTCAAGAAGCTTTTTGCTTCGATTTTTGAAGATTGCTAGAATAAAAAGAAGACTATTTATTTAGAAACAATGGAGTGGTCACACGAACCAGTTTTCGGCGTATAGAGCTGGACTAGAGCTAGACTGAGAAGGAGGAGGAAACTGTACAATTAAGTACAAAGAAAGAGTTGCAAATGGTGACGAAGTTTAGCAACAAACAAAATTTAAAAAGAGGATATCTAAAACAAAAAAAAACTTTAAACAACAAGAGACAAAAAATAACAAAGACAAACAACATATCTAAAGTATGGATCCAAGCTGATTTCAGTTGTAACAGCCTTCCTGAAACAATTTAAGTAAGTACATGTTTTTGAATACAGAACTCCAGGCATTGTATAAAACTGCAGCACTGCACGTGAAAAAATGTTGAAATAAAGCTTCAGAGTGAATATTTCTAAATTTAATACGTCTATCATGTGTATTATACAAGTACTTACAGATTAGCTTTTTTATCAAGTGCAGATATTATTATTTAAAAATTTAGTTTGTTTTCATCCAGTTTAATTTTATAAGACTGCCAGGTCATGGTCTCAGCCCTTTAACTCGCAGATGCGCCTAGCACAATTATTTTGCACAATTTGGAACCGATTTCTAGTAATAACATCAAGACATGGATAATATAAAAACTCATTAGTTGAAAAAGGGCATAGCCAAAGTTCCTTAGCTTATTAGCATATAGTGGTCTCAGTTTCAAACAGGTTTTCCTTAAAAGGTTCTTAACATGACTGGTGGATCTAAGTTTGAATTTGCTTATTACGCCAAGAATTTTAACCTCATCACCCGGGTATCGTCTTCAGATCCAATATTAACAGCTACCTTCAATTTCTCCTCTTTTACGATATGAACAAATAAATGGAAGGCTGGACTAGGATTTATTAACAGGTTGTGCTTATTCGAAAATTCATACACTTATTGAATATCATGGTTTATTCCTATATCATCGGTATCAAAATAGTTGACCAGTTGAGTATCGTCTGCGAAAGACTGGAGTGCACAGAAACTCACGGTCTTATGTTGATCTGCAACATATATCAATAACAGCAACGGACCCAAGACAGATCCCCGAGGTACTCCAGATGAGATTTTCAGGAAAGTAGATTTGTTAGTATCAATTCGTACACACTGCGATGCCAAAATACTTCAGCTTCGCTCTTATCAAATCGTGATTTGTATGTATAATATAATCTTCATAAAAGTGTATGTTGCCACTCTAGACTGCGGTACACCGTCTGTGATCGGTAGGTATTGTCTTTACCCACCAGCTTATCAGAAGCTGAGATCTGGTACCCTTTACAGAGACATAAATCGTAATCAGATAATCCTATAACGTTTTGATCGTCCACAAAAAACCGGACTTTCTACGAAAATCGACGATAAGGTGCTGTCGTCTCGAAAATTAAAAATAATATGGCTCTCTATGGACGAATAAATTTTCATTAAACGAAAAACCTAACAGATAACGAGTGGTACCGCCTGTTATAAATGTTTAACGTGAATTTATAAATTCTTCACTTTGATCTTTCTATTTGATCTTTATTACAGCCTTCCCGGATTTTAGTTGCGCAGCCGAGCGTATGTCTCTCAATTAGAGACAGGTTGTGAAATAGCAGATACAACTGAGAACTGCCACAGACTATGTGTATCTCTTTATTAACATATAAGACAATATTTGAATCCTATTATTCGATCTTTGAAGATACCTTACCTTGAGGGCTCTTGGGAAGTTCTTAAAGGACAAAAGTTGGCTACTATGAGAACAAAATTAATTTTGAACGAGTGTAACGAGTAGATCAAGTCAGTCAATCAGGCCTATATCTATAATACCCACCCATTTGACTCGAAATTTCTTCCCTATCCCTCCGACAGTATCGACCATTTGACAACGTTGCCATGACCAACCTCCTCACTCCTCAGCTGCCCATAGTCACAACTTCCGGTTTCTACATTTTTTTTCTGAGAATGGTCAAAAGCCTGGAATTTTGAAAAACGAAATTTTTCCGTGTCTCGATGCGCCGCATCTGGACAGATTTTCAAATGCTACAATGCTGAAGAACAGTTAGTTACGAAAATGTATAACAGAGAAATTAACCGGATCATGTCATGTCAAACGAGCCCATACAATCAGCGTAATAATATTATTTCACTGCCCTACCGGTAGTATCGTCCATCTGACAACGTCCGCCATCCCCATACCTGAGCACACGACGCGCCAGATGCGGTAACGCGACACAGTGCCAGTAATGGTAGGATACTTATCGAGGCCGGCACGCCCACCGATGAACCCAGAGAGCAGAAGCAGAGACGCGCACCGAAAACATTTGTTTATGATTCTGTGTTTCTAGGCCAAATGTATGGAGAAGTGTGATGTATCACAACCTATAACCTACCACCGACAACCCCAAATGCTCAACCCCTACAAAAAAATTTCAGAAAATATTAGGAGCTTCTAAAATGCCAAAAACGGTTTAAGCAATTTTTATTTTTTTGACCGATTTTCAAAATCTAGAATGCTTTGTCGTGTTGTACATGTCATATAACATCCAAGAAACATAAAATCCCATTTTCGATTGTTTTTGCGATTACAATACTTCCTCGCCGGTAAGCGTGGGAAGCAAAAATTAGTTAAATCATTGAGTAAAATTAAAACAGATAAATTTACCATACATGTCACCGAGAGCCGTTTGTTGAAGCGATTGCCTAGCAACTAGTGAATACGAACGTTTCTCATGATGGAAAATCTAAAGTAAAAAATTGAAGTGAAGTTGCTTTATCACCCTAGGGCACGAAGAAGGCAGTATCATGGAAAGTACGACTTGACGCTCAAAAAATCGTATTCTTAAAGCACACTTTACCGCCCAAAAGGATATCCTATTTTTTGAGGACACTGTGTTACACGGCATCGATATTTTTATAAAGAGCTAAGCTTTCTAATTTGAACAAAATACCACGCACCGCTCTTTTACTCCAAAGCAATTAATCCACTTCAACGTCATATTCTGAAATACAGCAAAACTTCAGTGTAACTTTGTAAGTGTACAAGCAACAGAGCATGAAATGAGGATTTCAAGATGAATTTTCTGCTACATGTGACTGTAAATTGAGCTGTTTGTTGAATTTCACTCTCTATTAACAACGTTTTAATTACACAGAAGTTTAATTTCGTACATGAAGGAAATAATCAACATGTGGAATTAGCTCAGAAGTAAATGATATAAGTTCTCTTGAAGGTACTAATTTACAAATAAGAATTTGTGACGGAATTTCTTGCTTCTTCTGTTATTTTCTTTAAGGCGAGCTCTCAGACAATTTTCTTTCGATATATCAACGAAATCTGTTCTTTCTTCAGATGCTCACAAGCATCTAACATTCTTTCATCATGAAGTAAAGCTTACTTCTAGAAAGGAAAAAAAATCTGTTAGTAATAATATACTCACATATTTATAGTATCTCAAAGAACTTACGTTTGTATAGCTGTTTCAGGAACAAAAAACCTACTAACTTCTGGTATATTCGCAAAATATCCTGCTAAAAGGCACGGAAGCGAGCAAGTAATAAAACAAAAGGTGAAGAAGGCTGTTGACACCAAAAAACAAACCTATTATTAGGTTGAGATCAAATAAAACCTGCTAACAATATTTGGATGCAATTAAGTGTATACTCACGCACTGCTTATCGCAATCAATTCAAAAGATCATTATCCTACCGAGATCAGCATGCAAGATTACGCTGATTGCCAGATTTCATGCAAATATTGTAATTTGAATTACAAATGCTTCGGTAAATATATAACATTGTCGTGATTTTTGTATAAAAGCTGAAGAAATGATTCCTGATTAACAATAAGAATCGCTTAACATGCATTTTGTCAGTGTAGTCGTCTGTGTCGCTGCATTCCTGAGCGTAACTGTAAGTATCTTGGAAGACATAGAACATGTTATATATGAGAATTTTCAAACCATCACATTTTAGACACAAATATTTGTTCCAAGGAGATCTTATAAGTTATATAGGACGGCTTCCAAACTAAAGATGCATATTCTAACCTAGAGCGAACATATGCACTATATAACTTCCTTTAAATATTTATATCACCGAACGCTCTACAGTTTCTGACAATTAATTCATGGAATTTGAATCCATCTGATATTTCTAGGTTGACATTATGATGGTTAAAGGCTATTTTTTCATCGAACGATACACCCAGATCCTTAATATGATCAACCCTTGGGAGATCACTATTCGCAACCTTATATTGATGTAAAATTATCTGATTCTTTTTTGAAAATGACAGAATTTTGCATTTTGGTGCATCCAAGTACAGCTTGTTAGCTAGACACAATCATGTATAGACTCAAAATTCTGCTGTAGATTACGGCAATCAAAGATGTCATTTATTGCTGTGAAGGGGACCTTGCGGTCCACCTGAAGTTGCTATATATTCCTAAGATACAAACCCATTATAAAAAACAAATTGTGACCTATTTTCAAGATATGATTGAAAGAAATTAACCATTAAATTACCGAATTCTAAACTAGATATTTTGCTCAGTAAAATACCATGATCTATCCTGTCAGAACCTTTAGAAAAATCTGTATAGATTACATTCACTTAACCATGATTATCCAAAATATTATTGACAAACTGCGTGAAAGTAACCAAACTGGTGATTGTAGATCTACCCCTGAAAAAGCTATGCTGAAGTGGAAACTTGGCTACAGACCAAGGATTAAATGTGGTCATACAGACTCATTTCAAATACCTTTAAAAATATTGACAAAATAGTTTTCAATTTCATTCATAGGTACCCAATATTATTACGAATTTGAAATGAGGCTATTTTCTGTTTTTACTTCATACAAATCCAAAATGACGTATTATGTTTTTTGGATGCTGTATGACATGTACATCACGTCTGTCTATCTATCTGTCTGTCGGTCTGTTTGCTAGACTTATAACGGTCTATAGGTTGATAATGTTACTACTATACCAAGAACGCAAAAGCTTTGTAATGTTTGAAATTCGGCCCATTGGCGAAGGTGAAAAAGGCCAAAGACCAAAAAACTAGAAATCGCTCAAACTTAGTTTTTGTAGGAGTAAAAAATTGAGGGTGGGCTTGCAGGGTGTGGGGATGGTATATCTCAACTTTTTGAGGTTGGTATATTTAAACGCCCCCAACCCCAGTAATTCTACGTACATATTAGGCGGATTTACCCTTAAAATTTAGAAATACCTCATACAGTCGGGTGGCGATAAATGCGACGTGGCCCCCAGATCGTACACGCGAGATTAGTCATCGCAACCACCATGTTCGCCTGCAGCAATTCCTCTTAGGGGAGGCGAAAGGTCATTTAATTCTTTGTTATACATGTTTTTAGCTTACTTTTGTCTTAAGAAGGGCTAACTTGTGCCAAACATAATCCTCTACGAACTAATGACAACTTACTTGACGCCAGTTTTTAAAGTCAAATGTATTGTAGGAATGTATTTTCATGGTCAAGTCCAATAAATTTATGGTTGTGTATATTTTGATTATCATTAGATGTATCTTCAAGAGAATGAGCTTTATCCGTCGGAGGTAATGATAACTGGCTATTTTTTTACCCTCAGAGTGCAGCTCCTTGTGAGTCACCATGTGTAACAACGGAACGTTCTTGCCATACTGAAACTACACCTTGTACTACTCAGTCAACCTCGTGTGCTCCTGAGACTACACCATGTGCTACAACGACAACCACATGTGCTCCTAAGACTACCACTATTCAGACAACACCTTGTACAACGCCGTGTACTTCTGGAACAACTACTACTTCTGAAGCTCCATGTACTCCACCACAACCCTGCACTGGGCCAAAACCATGTAGTAACAAAGTTCCTCCTTGTGAACAGGCGGTGATCAAGAGGAAATCTAGCGCTAAAGCTGGCGCCAGTTCAAGCATAATCGTTAAAAACTGAATACTTGTATTCCTCGAACATATGTATGCCATGCAATAAACAATTAATTTACCTTTAGCATAGTGCCAGTTGGAGCACTATTGCAGCAAAAATGTCAGGAAATAGTTAAAATAAAATGCAGATCCAATACTAAAAAGAAATGTTTCTATTTGTAATTGAAAATAGTTGAAACAAATTCCTTCCTTAAATAAATATACATGGTGTAAACGTTATGATAGTCATTATTAAAATAGGTAATAGAGGGGTTTAAAGAAGCAAAAAGTTCCATATAACATGGGTGTCAAAACAGCATTTTTTTAGAGAAAAGCGACTTTAAAGTAAAATAAAATCTGACAACGCCACAATGCCAGACGCAAATTACGACGAAACGCAGTGTAAATAAAGATGGAGTTTGGTATTATTGGCTCTTAGGTATTATTTAATTATTTGATAATGTACTCGTAAAATGCAAACAATTAAAAAAAACGGACTTACCGCTAACTGTCTCAGCGCTTCACCTGGTGTGTGAAGGTATATTGAACGTAATAAAAAAATCCACTTATAAATAGGGAACACAATTTTGATACATACATTGTTTTTCTTTTTAACACTCAGAGTATTATGGAAATTTAATATCCCGTCTCGCGTAAAAGTACATTCATCCATCGCTAGAATGTTTTAAAAAAAAAACCGGATTTTAAATGTTTTTGTGGAAAAACCACTAACAGAATGTTAGTCTGCGAGGGTAGTCTTCTGGTAACAAGGCCTGGTAGGGATAAAGCTAATTTTCCCTTAAGATTCTATGGACCTAATTCCCGAGTGAGAGCTGATATCTGCAGTACAGTAACGAGTGCGAATATTAGTGGGCTGAACACTTCCTGTATCTTGAAGTCTTTGGTACACTTACACAAATGTCCTTCTGTCTGGGTGTACCCGTTGGCGAAATATGTCGCGATAAATTTGAGCTGCAAGATTTGAATTCTAACGAGCTTCACCGTAAACTAACAACATGCCGGCGAACTCTTGATTCGAGAATATTGTAAATAAAGATGACGACGTACGCGAACAAAAACAAAACAACATACTAACCACTGTTACCGTTTGCGATCGATTGCCGGTTCGATAAGAGTGACGAAAGGCCGACGCGCTGTTTTCATGTGTGTTTTAAATATTTAGTTTAATCAAACTTACTTACTGACTACAAATTTTGGCTTAACTTGGAAAAACTTGCCATTTATGTGTTAATTATCCAATTTAAAAACCATGGGTCATATAAACTTTTTGACTTGCTTTGATCCCCCTATTACCCATTTCAATAATGATTATTACTATAACGTTTACACCCTATATATTGCCAAACTCCAATCACTGCATCCTTCAACCGATATACTTTTTACTATTTGGAATGCTGCAACGGAGATGCATAAAAAACACTATCTCCCACACTACCCAGACGTTCTCGATCCCTCCTTGGTGCACCTATAATGGTCCCTCGGACATTCCGAGCGAGCTTGGGGTTCTAACCAATATGCCGATGAAGGTCGACAAAAATTATGGAATTCGCGATATAGGCCAAGTGAATGAGGGAAATTAAGCAAATGGTTAACGTCCGTAGTCATTTTTTATTGATTCTACACCAAGCAAGAATACAAAGTGCTCACTGCAACTAAGAATTTGGGATTTCTGAAAATTTGCCACATTCATCAAATTCTGAAGGTTGATTATGGAGCGCTGTAGAATAGAACAATCACTCGGGAATAATTCCAAATTCGGACGGTTATTAGACAAAGGACACCGTAAAAAACATTTGGAATATGGCTCCCAGTTGATTTGCCTGAAAATGAAGTATAGTACATTTCTCGCCTTCCTGAGAAGTTCTGGTGAGTATATTCTGAGAAATAAGGGGAAAGTTTGCTAGACTTGCGAAAATAGTGAATGTGCTGATTGCAGTTCTCAGACCAAAAACTTGTAGAATTGGTTTACTGAAAGAAGTATTCATTTAAACACCTTGTGGGAATGTGTTGGGAGGTGTCCTGTTGATGTTGCCTATGACCCATACAAGTTCAATCTCAGGGCAAGTTTCTTACTTACACCAAAGCAGCCACTCAGGCAGAAGCCTAAATGACAGAGTAGCGCGACTGCTATGAGGAGCTTGAAGAAACTATGTTAATCAGATTTTTGGACTGCCTAAGGTTAGTAGAACTGGAATAAGCCTCCGCAGGTACGTTGTTCCATAGCCTAGATACCCTAGGAACAAAGGAGTGGTCGTATCGACCAGTTCTGGATGCATGAGCTTCGACATGGTTAGGATGAGAGGCAGTAGTCAAGCACATCTGTCTGGCAGGCACATCATGCCGACTAGCCGAAATGAACGGGTCTTTGGTAGAACTCGGTCATCCATCGAAACCGAATGAGTGCTAGGACGCTTCTTGCCCATCAAGTTGATTTTTAGATATTAATTCTGGAATATGTATATCTGGAACGAGTTTTTAGAGAATTTAGAAAACTCGATAGTCGTGATTATTTTCTTGTATGTGATTAGCTTATTCAAAAGGTCAAATTAAGGTCATATTGAATGACAAGATGAAAAGAAAAGCGCACAAGTGTGTACACTGCTTTAAGCTGCTGCAGCTCATAATACTAATTTATACTGACCAATACATGACACCAGTACAAACCAAATTAATTTCAATGATCAAATAGACAATGACTTTTATTTACTTATATCTATCTTCCAGGTGACATAGTTCATTCATCGTAGCTGCCGATGTAGACTATCGAGAAATCTTCAACTATAATTGCTGCGTTTACATTTTTCATAAATCCATCTTCAAAGGATCATAGTCTATATAAACATTACTCCCCCAGCACCTTCATACAAGGTTTTTTAATGAAATATTTCTTTCAGGGTAACAACTATTGCAACAGTATTCTAGAGTATTTAGCCAGAGAATTACAATCGGCACATTCCTCAAATTCCCAGATTCCATCCCCTGTTTTCCCAGAAACAGATCATATGACTGCTTTGGTCTCATCAGAACTTTTGTTCAGGAAGGCAAGAAATACATCAGCCTGAATTTTTAAGCAAATTAACTGGGACCCATTTGCTATATGTTTTGCGCAAGGTCCTTTGTGAATGCATCCATTTTCGCAAAACAGCTTCCTCAACAATAACTACCGCACTTGTTCCCTATAGAATTACTTTAAGAGCGACTATTCACTCAGTGTTCAGGAATACAGTCCACTACTGCCCTATTTGGAGAATTGAACCCTATGTCGACTGCAATCTGTCAAGTCTTCTAAATAAAAGCTGGTTAGTCATCTGTAGGTACTGCAAACTTATGCATTATACTTTTTGCCATTATGTAGGTCTTTTTATGACATTATATAGGTTTAACATGACATCATGTAGGATTTTCTGCAAGACGACCACTTGGAACTAGCTGTATTCACTTCGTGGTCGCGCGGAATGGACTATTTGCACACTAGCCTACTTAGTCAACAAGCTATCAGTTTTTTTAACATTAAACAGGGTATTTCAGAACTAAGGGATCAAACTTCTACGGATTATTCAGTGTAACAGTAGAAGACATTTGAGAATAGGGCGCCATATCCGGAAAACTGTCACTACGGCATTACGTCCCTAAGACGCGTTAAAATTCACAGACTAACGTTACTGATGTTTTCTAGAAAAATTTGCATGGGGATTTTTTTTGTCCCAAACGTGGCTATTCCTACTATTAAAAATATCGTCTCTTGTGAAAGAGGCTTCATCAGTCAATCCTTGAACTTTCTGGAAGTGGCATGGATAAAGTTGTTGCTCATATAGCACCCGCCAGACGGAAGCGTTACTCTGTTCATGTACTATGTGTGCTACTTGATAGTTCGTCGGCAACTCGCTGAAGGACCTCTTCTTCAAATTCGACCGTTCTTACGGTTCGAGCAACACCAGTATCATGCATGTTGGTTGTAAACATGCCTGTCTCGGAGAGCCGCCGATGAATAGCAATAAACTTTTTGTATCCTGGATGCTGTCGTTTGGGATAACGTTCTTGATACAACCGCGCTGCTGCTCGTGTATTGCATCTTGTTGCTCCGTATGCCAAATGCATATCCGCCAATTCTTGATTTTTTAAGTTTTCCATTAGCAACAATTAATTTTTGTTAAATTCTTGCAAACTTTACAAATACGATAGCACGACTAAGGCGATATGGGTCCCTATACTCAAATGTCTTCTACTGTTACACTGAATAACCCCTACAAGTTTGATCCCATAGTTCTGAAACACCCTGTATAGGTTTTTTACGTAATAACCCTGCCGGGGGCCCTGGCGGAGAGACATTCCATGTTTGAAGTTCTTGAGAAATTTTTAGTTATCGTGGCAAGTATTTAATTCACACTAACGAATTGATGCTGACGACCAAAACAAACACCGGATGTTACGCTCACTTTATAAGAATCTGTTCAATAATTGAAAAGATATTTTCCGGTTGTTTTCAAAAGGGTGCCACATTGCCAAGTATTTAAATCCGAAAATCTGCTCAAAATTCATATGTCTCATTGTACGTTGGATCTACAAAAAATATAAAAAAATATAAAATCTTATTTGTATTCCTGAGCTATCACACGAAACTATATACAGGGTGTTCCTTAATGATATGCGAGTATTCAAGGGTGTGAATCTAGATGGAAAACTAATGTTAGTTTGCTATATAAACTATGGTCCAAAAATGTTTCCTTCCAAAAACTCGGGGTGTTGAAGTTTTAGGAAAAAAAATGGAAATTAATCAATATTTTCAGAACCGCTTCATATATTTCACTGATATTCAGTAAGTAGTGAAAGCTAATAAAGTTGCATATTCTTCAATGCAAAAGTAATTTTTAGCTTAAACAGTGGCGTGCGTACGGGTATCGAATTCGATATTTTTTAAGAAAAAAATGAAACGCCAATAGTTTTTTGCCAAATAAAAATTATTTTTTACTTCCTCGTTCAGTTTAAAACAAATGACCTATCTTGAATTGTTTTCCTTCGATGCGCCATTTTTGAGTAAAAAAATAAAAACCGTTCTATTGTCTAACTTGCAAAATTATTATTAATTTAATTGGAAAAATTAAACACATTAGGGGTAATGAACAACAAC